TCATACATCACCCTCATGGTTTCACCTTCCATGTAATGGTAATCGTAGCTGTTGTACCAAGGTGAATGCATCAGAACGATCAACCAAGGAGTTTCCGTTCTGTTAACCTTTGGGAACTCCTCTTCGAGCCATGTGTATTGCGGCGTGTACTTACCTGTCAAAGAAAAAGATGGAATGGAATTTGTTAGGGTCCTCTTAGTCTTCTTGGTTTGCGTATATCGCAAGAAGAGGTTCAAAATTTTCAAGAGGCCTTACCATATGCTGAATATGAAGCTAGCACGATTATGTAAGCTGGTCCTCTCTTTATCGAGTACCAGAATGGTTCTGTGCTGCCTGATGATCGGTAAGGAGTACGGTATCTATGCTTGAATGGCTTAAACGGCTTAGTTTCTCCCTGAAAAAGCACATAAAAACAATCTCAGTCTAATCCATGCTTTTATAGCTCTTTGTGCTATAACATTTTGAAGCCTAAAGCCAAAACAAAGAAGATGAAGCAAGAAACTATACAATCTTTGGGGCAAAGTCGAGTTCATGGTTTCCCATAGTCCAAATCCAAGGCTGATATGCTGTGCTTCGTTCAACAAATCTTCCCCAACTGTCCCATCTGTTGTTGTCATGATTTGGGTACTGATCAGCGTATGAGAGATCCCCAACAAACAAAACTGTTTGCCCTTTTATTGGGTTATTCTCATAGTGCGTTAAGGTTATGTTAGAGTCAAAACTCTGCCCAAGATCCCCTGTAAATCCAACAATTTGCAGCTCAAGCTCAAGCTCAAGTTCAAATCCATGTGAATCTAGCTAGTAATTGCCTTTTTGTTAAAGCCGTGAAAATATACCAATCAGACCAAACGTGTAGGGTACGTCAGGACCGACTTGAGGAGGAGTGAAGAACCAGAACTTGCGTTCCGTTTGTCCCACGCCTACCACATAATAGTACTTAGAGTCATACTGCAAAAAAAAAACCATCAAAATCTGATAAACAACGATAGCAAAGATTGTGATAATGATTATGAAGAGAAAAAGGTTGAAAACGTTGGAGACCTCCAAGTTTCTGATGGTGCAATGATGGATGTGACCAGACGTATAGTTGTAGAATTTGTACGTCGTGGATTTTCCATGAGCCTTAAGCTTTTTGGAGCTGTTCTCTTTCCAGTAAAGGACTGTGTTAGATCCTTTTGCTTCTTGCGTGACCCATGACACTATCACTGCCTTCCCTTCAACGTCTCCTTGTGTTATATGCACCTTTTTGTGTGAAATAAAACTCAAGTTACATCAAGAAAAGAAGAAACGAAAAGTCTGCAACTTATGTTTGGTATGAATATTAAGTTATATACCATTTTCCGATTTTAACACATTTAAGACGATTACAGAGAAAAGCAAGAAGCAGAGAAATACCAAAAAGCTACTAAAACAACACTAAATGTCTAAACACAACACCAAATCACAAAAACCAACTAACGAAGCTAAACTTGAAATTGTCAACATTCAACAACAAAAATGATACTTATGATAGAACCAACAACAAAACTCAGAAAAAAATATTGTTAAATTTATAGAAAGAAAAGGCGCAACGTAATACCTGTTGAGGTGCATTATATCCAGAAGGAACACAAAACACATCGCTATCAAGAGGCATATCAACAGTTGCCTCTAACCTCCTGACATAACGACTTGTTTTGCCTCCATTGCAGAACAGCACTAAGCTGTTCAGAACCAAACCCAGAAAAAGAAGGGAACATAGATCTAATCCTTGGAGACGACGACCCATTTTCTCAAGTGGTCTCTTATCTTTCTTTCTTTTTTTCTTTCTTTTTTACTGCCTCAGATTTGTTTGTTGTCCGAAGAGAGAGCTATTCCCTATAAAGACGGGGAAGTATCTTTATAAAGAAAGATAGATGCATCATGCAATCATGCATGTGTTGTCTTGAGCAACGGAATATTCGTTACTGAAACTTAAATGGAGGAGCCGTGTCAACTCTGTTTCGATTTTGTCAATAAATAAATAAAACTTATTTTTCGATCGAGTTATTTAATTTTTTTATGAATTAAAGAAAAACAAAAAACAGGAGTATTATACTCCTATTATTTTTCATTTTGAGTAAAATAATATTTAGTTTTGTTTATTTGTTTATTTCTTTGTTGTTTTCCTAAATTATTTATTTGTTGTTTTGACTTTTGACTAAACAACCAGATGGCATATGTGAACGCTTGGAAGATTTTTTTTATTTCACGAATCTATGCTTCCCTTTTTGTTGTGTTCTGTTTATTTATTAATTATTATTGTCAACCAACTTTTGTCTTTTCTCCTTGATTTGTTTTTTTTTTTTGTCGGCCTTCTTGATTTGTTTTAAGTACAGAAATTATAAAAAATAATGCCGTTATGAGGGGAAACGAAAGGAGTTAAATAAAAAAAACAGTGGCCTTAAAAAAACAGACAATACATGTACTTTCAAATTCGAATTTGGATTTCTTTGTTACTTCGATTTTGTAATTATATAGTTAATGTTCCTATATGAACAAATCGTGTGCTTACATATATACTAATTTGGATCAGATAAAATTTTATAGATATTTTGTTCTTTCCAACGAAAAAGGGATCATACTTTTTGCTACTTAATTTATGCCATCTTGCTAGATATCTGTGATATTTAAGTTCTATCATTTTATATTTTTCGGTTATTATTTTAATCATTTCTTCATGGTGGTCTCTAAACTATGGAACATTTCCACCTTCAAATTTTTACATTTTTTTATTTTTTTACTTCAAAAAACTCATCATCTTCCAAAGGTTCAAATATTCTCTCTTTTTTTTTGGTTATTTTCTCTCTCTGATTTGCTATTTTGTGATATTTTTTCTACCATTTTTTGACTTAAATGTCGAAGATTCATTGAAAAACAATATTTCATCGTTTTTTCCGGGATTTTTATGTGTTTACCAAAAACTTTACGTGTTTTCTAAGTTTTGTAAGAGACTTATCCTTTAAAAAACTAAAAATTTTCTTAACGGTTATTAATATGAAAATAAATTATTTTGTACATCTCGATTTGATAACATATTTTTTTGTTATAGGTTTAGTTCGATTTTTGTTTAATATTCTGTTAAGAGTCAATTTTCTTTTATTTTTTCCAAAAAGTAAAAAAAGTAGCCAAATAATCGAATGAAATAAAACATATTGTTCTCTTTTTGAGGTCTTTGTTATGTTTTCTTTTGGTTTTGGCTGACGTTAAGACCTTTCTGCTTTGTGATTTTTGTAAATGTTCTGAACTTTGAAATTTACGGTGACAAAAACTAAATCGAGATTAATCACTCCTCTAACTCTGCAGTCTTCACATTGTCATTTTCATTTTCGTTTTTAGCCCAAGTCCCATTGAACCTAGTTTTTTAATATGGTTATTTTATCTGAATTTTTGTGTTTTCATTTTTGCCTATATTATATAATAAACCATGCAGATCTGAACTAGGTTGGTGAAACAGCTATTTGCCTATTTCTAATTACATCTACTTCAGTTTCTTTTGTATATAAAAAAAGGATCTTAAAATAAACTAATCGCAATGTATTTTTAAATAATTGGTAATAAATGCTTCAATAAATTAGATCTCCAAGCAAGGCATCTGCTAATGGTTGGTGGGTGATGACAAGGGATATTCCATTCCTACAAAAATCGTGCAATATGATTGGTCCAAAAACTTCATGTAAAATAAATAGAGAAAAGACAAATTTAAAAATTAGTTTGAAAAGTCGTATAAAAATTGTAAAAACGAAATTCTTTTCGAAAACAAAAATAAAAAAATTGACGTTAAAACAACACTGAAACGGAGGGAGTAGCGTTTGACGAATTAGAACACCTAGGTATCGCATAAAACCTCAAGAAATCAAGAAAGAAACATACTTCTTTTTTTTTGGGGTAAAATTACTTATAAATATATGCATTAGATTATTGTTGTTCTCAAGTATTTTTAAAGTAATTTTCAAATCGACTCAGTGTATAAGAATCAAGCAGGAAAGACTCAAAAGTTTCACTGTTTCAGAGAAAGAAATAAAATAAGATAAGATTATAAGAGACAGTACTCCAAAAGAAGTGGAATATATTCGAGTAAAAACCAGCTTTGAGTTTCAAAAGACAACCTCTTCTCGTGAAAGTGGTTGAATTTAGAGTAAAAGCAAAGAGGATCAATCGTCCTGCGATCTTTGACACATGTGACATTGTCGATCTTGTTTTGTCAAGGTGTTTTAATAACATCACGAACTAGAAAAAGGACAAGCTTTAGCTTTGTACTCTAGTTGTAGAGAGTAACCGTGAGATATTATTAGGAGATTAAACTTGCAAAGCTTCGAATACTTTCAGTTTTGCTCTGTTTTTGTCTCTCTGTTTTCAAGGTAGAGTTTACCAAGCGTTAAGTAGTTAGCTCGAGCTAAAAACCTCACACATTGATACCAAAACTCCATGTTCCAACAAAAGGTGGGAAATATATAGAACCTAGACAGTTTATACGAGAGCGTAAAGGAGACTGAAGCAGAGGAGTGATGAGGTTGCAAGAGCTGATTCAATCAAAAGTTGTTGCTGAAATGGACAAGTAAAAGTTGTTACTGTAAAGTAAGATCCTTTTGCATACAAATTCTATTATTACACTCAAATAGATTTCATATAAGGAGAGAAGATTTGACCAGTCACGGTTCAACACATCGCACCAAACTTTGGAGGTGTCAACCAGGCATGAAACCACAAGACTCGATTGTATTAACTTGGTTGCGCAAAGATACAATTGGGAAATGTGGTATAGGGAAACAAAACAGAGATAATCCTCCCACTACAACTCGATAAGTGAATGTCAATATTCTTCAAACATTTCTGCATTTGAGCTTAACTAAACATGAAGTATGGCCAAAGAGTTTGAAGCAAGATAAGAAAATAACACTTTGTGTCTTTCTTTCTAATTTAGAAGAACTATTCGCCGTTTCTATTTCAAGAAACGGCATGTTTTTTTTTTAATCCTTCTCATTATCAAGAACTTCATCAGTCATTAGGTTTTCATTATCAAAAAGTTCTTGTCTGAATAACGTTTGTTTAACAAGGGCAGGCACAAGAGCCATCCCACATTGCATTTATTCATATGGTTATTCAATCTAAGAGATGTATACAACAATACAAATCAGATTCTAAAGATTCTCAAGTATCAATTAGATTCTAGAATCATCAACAGGATGCCAGAATCTGTTGTAAAACCACATGGTATCAGCTTCCACGGCGTAGCCATCCTGGTTCCTGTGCCATCCATAGTGTGCGTGCGTCCTGTTCTTTATCGAGAATATAGCGTGTCCGAAGCTTGCTTCTCTGAAGGCAGAGTACTTAGGCTGAGGCTCAGTCATTCTGCAAGAAACAATATGCAAGACTCATCATCTGAATCTTATCCAAAACCTATTGCAATGATCAGTTATAGCTTACTTGGTAGCCAATCCTTCAATATTTCCTCCATCACCAATGGTAATATAGACTGGAGCAGATTGGTCTTTGGCTGGACTGCAAATGCCGTTAACCACTTTGTAGGCTATGTTTGATATGCGTTCCTGGTTTCACAACAGCTCGGTTTCTCAGGATCTATAGTTTAAAGACACATGATATGAGCCAAAGTAAAGTTATTGATCTTACTGATCTTTCGTAGGCGTGGACGTGACCTGCAAAAACAACATCTACTTTGTTCTTGACGAACCACGGTTCATACATCACTCTCATGGTTTCACCTTCCATGTAATGGTAATCGTAGCTGTTGTACCACGGTGAATGCATCAGAACGATCAACCATGGAGTTTCTTTCCTGTTAACCTTTGGGAACTCCTCTTCGAGCCATGTGTATTGCGGCGTGTACTTACCTGTCCAAGACAAGATGCAATGGAACATTCAGGTCCTCTTAGTCTTCTTGGCACAAAAAGGTTTAACATGTTCTAGATGGCTTACCATATGCAGAATATGAAGCTAGCACGATTATGTAAGCTGGTCCTCGCTTAATCGAGTACCAAAATGGTTCTGTGCTACCTGATGATCGGTAAGGAGTACGGTATCTATGCGTGAATGGCTTAAACGGCTTCGTTTCTCCCTGCAAAGAGCATAAAAAACAACCAATCTCAATCTCAGTCTACTCTAATCCATGTAGATGCTGGTCTAACTAGATGTTCTTATATCTCTTTGTTCTATAGCATTTTGAAGCCTAAAGCCAAATCAAAGAAGATGAAGCAAGAAAGCTTTACAATCTTAGTCTAATCCATGTAAATGCTGGTCTAACTAGATGTTCTTATATCTCTTTGTTCAATAGCATTTTGAAGCCTAAAGTCAAAACAAAGAAGATGAAGCAAGACTTTACATCTCAGTCTAATTCATGTAATGCTGGTTTAACTACATGCTCTTGTATCTCTTCGTTCTATAGCATTTTGAAGCCTATAGCCAAAACAAAGAAGAAGCTTTACAATCTCGGGGGCAAAATCGAGTTCATGGTTTCCTGTGGTCCAAATCCAGGGCTGATAAGCTGTGCTTCTTTCAGCAAATCTTCCCCAACTGTCCCATCTATTGTTGTCGTGATTTGGATAAGTATCAGCGTATGAGAGATCCCCAACAAACAAAACCGCTTGCCCCTTTGTTGGGCTATTTTCATAATGTGTTAATGTTATGTTTGAATCAAAAGTCTGTCCAAGATCCCCTGCAAAACAATAATTTGCAACTCAACTTCAAGTGCATGTGAAGCTAATAATTGCCCCTTTTGTTAAAACCATGAATATGTTTCAGGACAATCACCAATGAGACCAAACGTGTAAGGAACGTCTGGACCGACTTGAGGAGGAGTGAAGAACCAGAACTTGCGCTCCGTTTCTCCCACACCAACCACATAATAGTACTTAGAGTCATACTGCAAAAAGAAAAATCATCAAAGTCAGATAATAACAATAGCAAAGATGATAAAGTGATGATGATGATGATGATGATGATGATGATGATGATTGATGATGATGATGATGATGATGATGATGATGGACCTCTAAGTGTCTGATAGTGCAATGGTGGATGTAACGAGAAGTATAATTGTAGAACTTGTAAGTGTTGGTTTTGCCATGGGCTTTGAGCTTTTTGGAGCTGTTCTCTTTCCAGTAAAGGACTGTGTTAGATCCTTTTGATTGTGTCACCCAAGACACTATCACTGCTTTACCTTCTACATCTCCTTGCGTTATGTGCACCTTTTTGTGGAAACCCAAATAAAAAAAACCCAATTTAGATCAATTGTTTAACAAACAAGGGAAAAAAGTTAACATCTTTATGAACTCCACTAAGAAAAAGCTTGAATCGATCAGAATCGTCCAAAAAAGAGCTTTCTTTTACATCATTAGAACAAGATTAAAAAAAAAGAAAAGTAATTACCTAATATTAAATTGGAAAAAAAACCTACCTAACACTTCCCAGTTAGCAGCACTAAACATAAAAAGCTTCGAAATTTAATAATTATAAACAGAACCCATAACAAAAACTCAGAAAAGATTGTTGATTTCATAAAGAAAGGGTATACGTAGTACCTGTTGAGGAGCATTATATCCATGAGGAACACGAAACACATCGCTATCAAGAGGCATATCAATGGATTTCTCCACTTTTCTGACAAATTTACTGGTGATTCCTCCATTACAGAACAGCACTAAGCTGTTTAAGACCAAAAAACATAGAACAAGAACAACGGAAAAGAAATCTGATCTCATTTTCTCAGATTTTCTTTTCCGACCTTCTGAGTTTTTTCCTCCTAAAACAAGGGGAGAAAATCGTTTTAAAAGACGAATAGAAACAATAATTTATTGGTCTTTGTGGAGTGGAAGATTCGTTACTGATCTTAGATCGAATTCAACTCTGTTTTTCAATGTCTATACAAAACACTTTTTAATTTTGTTATATATTTCCTTGTTTTTGCTTTGACCCAAATGTAGATGGCATTATGTGTGAACGCTTGGAAAGTTTTTTTTATATTCTTTGATAATCTGTTCCGGACACACGAATCTATACTGTACTTTTTGTTGTTTTCTGTTTTATTTATTTTTGTGTCATATGGCAACTAATCTATGGTTAGTTTTTCAGTTCCCTAATAATAGTTACCAATGCGAAAATGAATGATTTAATTCCTTGCATTTCGGTTTTGTTTAAACATTCAATTAAAAAACTAGATTTTACTCTGTATATCTGCATTAAAATTTTATCAAATTTTGTAATATAATTTATATTTTATTTATAGATATATTTATTAATAAGTAATAAAAATTCATTTTTTATATAATTTGTATTTAAATTTTATTTTAATATATTATAATCACGATCATAAAAATATAATTATAATCCGATCATTTTATTAATAATAAAAACAGTTTTTAAAAAACATAATTTTAAGTTGTTCATTCTATTAATTCAAAAATGACTGTAATTATAAAAACGAATAATTCTAACCCGTCTATTCATATTACGATATAATATAAATATTTATTAATTTTGAAATAATTTTTAACTGAATATCTTTCATGTTTTGATAACTTAACCCGCATAAGATCATAATTATTAAAAAAAATTTAACCCATTGGATCAAATTACCATATAATTTAAATATTTATTAATTTTTAATATGTAAAATTTTAGATTCATTGATTATGATTAAAAAAAATACAATAACAATGTGCACGGTGTGGAGCGGAGGAAGAAACAATCAATCATGTTTTTTTTTAATGTCCCCCTGCCTTACAAACCTGGGCATTATCGCGGATACCCACACCCACCGAAATATTCCCCATGCCATCGGTTTTTCAAACTTTGATAATCTATTTTGGAGAATCCCAAAATAGATGAATTCTACACAATTTTTCTGGATTGTGTGGTATATTTGGAAAGTACGGAATGAGAAAATGTATAGAAATATAGATATGGATCCACAAGTGACTTTAAAGATAGCGGAAACTGAAGCGGCTCTATGGGAGGAGGCTCAAAGCTTCGAACATGAATTAATACTCTCACATCCTGGCAAAACTACAGATCACTCGATACCGGTTCTTCACGATGGCTGGTGGTGTTATATTGATAGTTCTTGGAAGGAAACAGACTTAGTTGCTGGTTTAAGCTGATATTATTTTAAATAAGGGACTCAGGAAACAGTAATATGTGCACAAAATGTAAGGCGGAGCCTAACTCCCCTACATGCAGAACTGGAAGCCCTTATATGGGTTATGCATTGTATGCTGGAAAATTAAAAGATATATGTAGCTTTTGCAATAGACTGTTCGGAGGTGGTGAAGATGGTGTCTACACCCGATGACTGGCCAACATTTGATCTACATTTGGAGGAGATTGTGAAGATGAAGAACATGTTTAGCTTTTTCTTTATTTCGCATATCCCACGCGCAACGAATATGAAGGCGAACATTTTTGCAAGAAGTGCTCGAATCTACCCTCAAGATGTTAATTATATAAACTCAGTATCATCGGTTTGGCTTGTCGAAACTTTTTAGGTACTTAGGTTGTAGATAAAAAAAAGCCATATTCGTTAATCATATGTGTTATTATGAAAATATTATTTAAATTTCAAATATTAAATTAAATCTAAACTATATTAAAAAAAAGTGTAAAGTAATTTAATTTAATATATAAAATTTTAGACTTAAATTTAATTGCAATTTCTTTTAAATATTTTAAATTTAAATTAAATATAACATATATTAAGGAAATCTTTAGTTATCTAAATTGATATTTAATTTTTGGAGTTAGTTTTATGTATAAAAATGTATTTTTAAAAAATAATATTGTAACAAAATAGGATAATTTTAAAATAGTTTTCAAATAATTATTTTGTTTTAAAAAAAAATTTGGGAATGTCTGGATGCAATTATTAAAAGTGCTTTCGTTTTAATATAATAGATATTTTGTTGAATGATGAAGTAATAATTATTTATGATACGATATATTTAAAATCAAAACTAAAGCTATTAACTCATGTGAGATGACCATTGTCTACATAGTCATAGGGTGATTCAAAATACAATCACGTTGACTTTTAAAAAGATTGGGATTGAAAGATAGATAGCACATTAGCACTAAGAGAGGTAAGGACTAAGGAGCAACAAGTTGCTTACGAATAAGAGACGAATAAAGTTGAGACCAATAGTATCGTTTACTTTTTTTTTTTTTCTTATTTACTTTTCAACGAATGATCACTTTCTCATTTTAGTCACATCCATATAAATCAAAATCCAGTAATGTTCGATCTGTGGTCCCAATCTTAATATTTTCTTTTCTTGTCTTTCTTCTTTCGTTCATTCCACTTTTTTCATGCCAAAAGGTTTGTAATTTGCAATGGTCAATTTTTTTTATATATAAAATCATGATTTTGATTTGCTTTTTAAAAACAGGGTATCAAATCATGTGAAAATATAGCTTATGGGAATATGAGTGAAAAACAATAAAATAAGAGAACATTGCAAAAAAAAAAACTGTTATTAGACTTACATTTTTACGACAAAAAAAGACTTTCATTTTTAATATATGTAAACTTGTAACCTAATTTTTGAGCCAATATCCATACATAGAGGCTATATTAATCTTATTAGGATATATGTTTTTCATGTTAATAATAAACATAAGCTATTTTTTCAACGCATAGTATTAAAATCACAAGTGCAATGCATTGTACAAATCCAATAAAGTGTCAAAACAAGCCCATATGTTTGAGGTTTCATTGCACAAGATTTGTATAATAGGAATATTATAAGAACTTTGTTTGTTACTCTTGAGAGTGGTTTCAAACAACTCTCCTCCTTTCATTTTCATATATTATCTAAATTTTATTAAGATTTTGGTGACAAGCAAAAGCTTTTTGTCTAGATCTTTTGCGAGACCATAAAAGACTCTGATCTTGGCTTGTTTATTTGAAGCAGATTTATTAATGTAGGAAACGTTGGATGATTGTTAATTTCTTTTGTCTATTTTAGTATCCAACCCTGATAATCCACAACTTTAACGAAATTATTTTCTTTTAAAAACACATATCCTTTTTCGGTAAGTTTTTTTGGCAAACTTAAACGTCTTCTTACAGTGCTCAGCACTCTCAGCAGCATTGTCATTATTAGCATCGTTGTGGCAAGTGAATTCAATGCCTCATTGAACAACTGATCTGATGGTGGCTTAGTTGGGTTCTATGGTTTGCAATATATTCATCATAATCCATCATAGGCTCAACTAGGGTATATACAACCTCAGTCACCAAAGCTTCTAAATTAATAATGGATTGAATTTATTGAACTTGTGTCTCTAATATATAGAGCTTGATTGGCAAGTGCTTTAAATCTTTTCGCAAGTGCTTTAGAATCTTTTCTTTTCACAGCCATAAATTTCTTTACAGAATTAAATCTCTTCCAATCATGCTTTAAACAAATTATTTGAATTTTTTTCTTTCCCTTTTTTATATTTTTGGGCCATAAAGAGCAAAATACCTAGAACACTAATAATTTAGCCTTAGAATATTTTGAGATAAATCATTTAAAAAAAAAAAATCCAGTCAAAATCCTGCAGCAAAAAACATACAGCTACAGCCATAACCAATCAAGCCCATAAATAGACTAGTTGAAATATTCAAAAGATTTATAGATAATTTTGTGTTTTTTGATCAAAAGATAAATTTTCTTAAGAAATAAAACTCATTACAACAAATTGGCAACTAGTGAGAAGATGGGCAGACCTCTCTCTCGTGTAAAGTCTTTGCTCTAGTCGTTTATGACTGTAGAGTTTCCCTCCGAAAGGCAATTTGCCTTGTCGGTAAAAGTGACAAGAAAAAAAATTTCCTTTTTCGGCTTCAAGAAATCTGTGAATTTGAAAAAATGCGCTACTGTCTTGCCAAATTTAAGCTAGAGCAAGATCGGCCTCTAGGGTTTTCGCAGCAGTTTCATCAGCCTCCTCCATCCACCAAAGCATTAGGAATTGAGAATTTTGGAGTTGGAACGCGGATTATTCTCTTTCTGTTAGTCATGGATGGTTTACTGAATGAAGCCCTACAGTCGATGTCATTGGATGATTACAAACCGATTGATCTACCGAACGATGAAGATTACAGTGCAGTGCAGTGCAGGTAAACGCCAAGAGTCTGATTGGCCGGCTCCTCAATCCGGAGTGTCAAAATATGGCGAGAATGCTGAAAACGATGCCTCGGATCTGGAAGGTTTATGATAAGGTGCGTGGCATAGCCCTATCCAAAGAAAGTTTTCAGTTTATTTTTGAAAGTGAGACGGATATGGAGACAGTAATGGAGGATGGTATATGGTCCTTTGATGACTGGAGTATGGTTATGGACAGATGGGTAGTAAATCCTCCACTTAACTTTTTAAAGATGGCGCCGGTATGGATTAGGATTCGAAAAATTCCTTTGAATTTTTGCACTCTAAAGACCATCGATGCAGTAGCGGATCGGGTGGGACAAGTGAAAGAAATACTCTTTGACCCTGAAAAGTCTAGATTCCAGGAATTTGTTCGGGTTTTGGTCGTCGTCGATGTAGAACAACCTCTTCGAGACACAAAGACAATTAATTTACCCAGAGGAGCAGGAAGCGCTGTAGTGGATATTGAGTATGAGAAAATCCGGAAGAAATGCTTTCACTGCTTTCGCCTAACCCATGAGAAGCAGAAATGTCCACTTTTCCTGAGTCAGAAGAAATGACCTGAAAGAGTGGAGAATCAGAGGATAGAGACGAGGATCAACAGTGATACTCCTGGAGACAAAACGCGGCAAAACCACACTGATTTGGTGGATATAATCATGCCCATGTTAGCTCCATCGATTCCTCCAGGGTTTGAACCCCGTCTGAATATGGTCGCCCCAGAGGTTTTTGAAGAAATGAGACTCTACATGAATTGTCTTGAC